AATCCTCCACCATCCGAGGATCAGCCACCGGCTCCAACTCCGCACCCACCAACAGAGCATCATCCACCGGCAACACCACCAAAGAACCACCTGCCCACAACAAGCCCGCCGCCGCCGGCAGGGTACCCACCAAAATCAAGCCCACCGCCACCAGTAGAGTATCATAAACCGCCCACAATGCCAAGCCCACCGCCACCAGTAGAGTATCATCAACCGCCCACAACGCCGAGCCCCCCGCCACCAGTTGAGTATCACCGGCCAACAATCCCAAGCCCACCGCCACCAGCAGAGTATCACCAACCACCAAGTCCACCTCCTGAATCTGGAATACCTCCGGCGCACCAACCACCTCCATCATCACCACCAAGCGGGTGTGTTACCCCGCCACCCCCACCGACCCATCATTCGCTTCCGTCGCCATATGCACCACCGCCGCACCAATCGCCGAGCCATCATCATCATCAGTACCCACCTCCATCACACGACTATCAAAGTCCTCCACCGCCGCCTTTTGAGAACATACCACTTCCTCCAATCATAGGAGTGCCATACGCATCCCCTCCGCCGCCTGTAATCCCGTATTACTAAGGCAGTTCCATTTTGTTTGGAACGTAAACAGGTGTTCTAATCCAGTTGGTTGGAGGATAGAAAATGGAAGGAAAGTATTTCTTATCATATTCTTTTCTTGCAAGATTCAAGAACTGAGGCAAGGATCGATTGCATATTTGTGTGTTCTTTTTGCTAAGCAGTAATTAATTATTATTATTTTTTCTATTTGAGGTTGCTTTCTGTAGCAATAATATATCATATATTCTTCACCATCTTCCTAGCTAGTTCAAATTCTCTGTTCATTACTGTAACTTAATTACTTCTGTATCTTTCTCATCTAGCTACAAATATATATATATATATGTAATATATGGGTGGAATTTGTATAACTTCAAATCTGTATTGAAATAGAGACAGAATTCAATATTATTATTTTGTTTCCTGAAATATGAATATATATATATATATAATGAGGTGAAATCTAAAATGTTTGTTGGTAAGAAACAATAATGGATGGGATTTAGAGGAAAGGGATAGAAGTACTTTTCAAATGTAAAGGCAAAAAGGCTGAAAAAGATGAAGAAGAATACAGTAGTAGTAGGCATGCATGTGATGATGTGGGACAGCTGTGGGATCTGGGACTCTGCAGTTTGCTTTCCACCAGTTGCCATTTTATTTTCCCTCTCATTTAAGCAACACCATTTATACTGATTAAAAATTTACTCAATTAAGTAAAGGTTAATCCTCTTTTATTACTTAATATATATTTACCTTAAAAAAAAAATGCTCATTTAATATATCACTATATCATTTATACCAGATAAGATAATGTTTTTATTGCGAACTGTATTTAAATTTCATCTTCTACTTTGCCTCAAAAAATATAACTCTTATTTATTAGTGAATGTACCTAAAGGTTACTACCTACCTTTTCTTCCACAAATTTTACTCTTTTACTTAGACCTTATTATTTAATTATATTCAGAACAAGTCCCAAAAGAACAAAATTTAGTGATTAACTAATAATTACTTTAAATAAAAGATTTTACGTGAAATTATCTTTTTATTGAAGACAACTTATTATTTTTAATTAAATTAAGTATAGATTTGCAAATAAATTCTATTTAATTTTTTTTTTTCTAAACATAGCGCAAGTTAAATCACAAGATCTTTTATATTAAGATACAATTATAATTAATTTATTATTTTTAAATTAATTATTTAAATTTGTTTAAAAAAATTAAAAAGGTTTGTTATTTTATCCTTATAGAAATTTAAAATATATACTATAAATTCTTGTATACTATTTTTGTTATTTTACTGTTAAATTGAAATTATTTCTGATTATCTTGACTAGAACTTATATAACATTTGTTATGTAATTCAATAATTCTTTTTCTAATTTCAATATATATATTGAAAATAATATTAATAAGTATGTAACATTTAAAAAATATTATTTAAAAAAAAAAACGTAAACAAATTATAATTTCTGAAATATCCATCAAATTACAGTTCTTTTCTTTACAATTTAGTTATTACATATATAAAATTATTTCAATTTATGATATTCTTATACAAATAAAGTTTTAACAGAAAAAATAATAACAATTTTTTGTTAAATAATAATTCTTTTGCCGATTATAAAAAGTAAAATATTAACATTCACAAATGTCAAAAGACCTACTTTGTATCAGGAGAACTATATCCAGTCATATCTTATTTACCCTCCACATTTGTATACACAGCTGATTAAAATCACTCTCTTGTTTAAGATTCACAATCCTTCATCTGATGAAAGACTTACCCCTCATTAACTGCATGGACCCCAATCCACAGGCTGAACCAGGGCATCACGGATCACTAACTTGAAAAATGCATCACCCCACTTTTCCAACTTGCTCAAACCTTACAAATCTTTACAAACATATGAAGCAAATGCTACTCTATATATTTTTCCTATAATGCAAAAAAAAAAATAACTGATCAGGTAAGTAAAGCTTCTGTTGTTTTCACAGCATCAACCGAAACGAATCACAATGCATGATATATCATCTTTGCTTTTTCTTGCCAATGCTTCTGATGTTAAACGCTTAGCTGCAGCTTGGGGATCTTTTATGGTTTTCACCAAATCAACTGCCTCTTGATTCTTCATAACCTGTCATCACAGCAATCATTAGGGAAAACCTAATACCTTAACAACAGTTTATAAAAACAGATAAAACCCAAACATGACCCATGCAATTCCTTTTCTTCCTTTTGTTTTCACTTTTGTTTTGGAAGAAGGACTGTTGGTGCGTGGGGGCGGGGGGGGGGAACGCTGCTTGATGGTCAACTGAGGTTAGCCAGTTGGTCTGCACAAGCCCTAATTTTACATTCTGAAAAACTAATGAAGAAATAAAAGTTGACTCTTGCAAAATATTTATGGATATTCAAGCCTCTATAGACTTTTATCTTTGACACAACTAAAAACAACAATAATTCATCGATAAATGAACAAAAAAAATATTTTGTCATTGGATTCACAATAATATCCAAATTTATTCCAGTTTATTGAAGGAAACCTATCCATGACAGAAAATTTTAGCACACTGCTGCCTGCAACTCTTTATTGCAATTTGCAACAGCATTTAAGAAAGGTTACCTACCCTTCTCCGCTAAAAGCATTTAGGAAGGCTATTGATATGCAACAGAAAAGCAGCCACAATAAAAAGCCCAAGGGGGTTCTTTTCTGATATGCATATACATTCTCAAGTTTTTGAATTCTAATTT